CCCATCATATCTGATTTTCTTTGTCTGAGACAACATTTCACTCAGAGTACAGCCATGGGAAAGCACGTCCCATGTTTTAGTTTAGTCAGAAGTCATCTATTCCACAGTGGCAGGATGAACAATTGTAATTTGAATACCACAGTATTCATATAACATTATGATGGTTGGCATCAATTGTTGCATGCATTAGTCATTGTAATAGTCTCCTCAGAAGATCATTTTAACTGTTTTTAAAACAGATGTCTATGGTTGTATGTGTTTAATTTAATTTTTGTCAATAGCTGCAAGAAGTCATTATCAGGTAGTAACATGCTATTCAGCTGACATTCTTCCAGCAGCCATGCTGATAGTAGAACATTCCATTTTCATAAATATGAGGATAGATATAGGTGAAAGTCGGTGAATTTGACTGCATATCTAACTACAGGTGGTATTTTGGTGTGGTAGAAACAGTATTCAGTATTTTTAAAAGCCAAAATATTGATGTTCCATATTTCAAAGACAAATGTAAGTGTCAAAGTAATCTTTTAACAATGCTTTTGGTTGTAAATAATTTGTTTATCTCAGATTCATCAGGGCAGACTTCCACTTTTTCATTGCTTATTTTAAACATGGACTTAGAGTTTCCCACCTGGTTAAGCACCTTTGGGCCCTCTAAAGCACAAAAGATACTTTCCAACTGAAGCAAGCTTAAGAGTGAGCTACAAAGGTGGTTGGGTTGGAGAACAGCCAGCAATGGCTGAGGAACCCTACTTGGACAAAGAGATTGATCTGACATCTGTCAGAGGTCTGCTGACATTCCTTCCAGTAGGAATAATCTCATGGTTAACATGCTTAGGTTTTGTACCTACTCAATTAAAAATCAATTTTTATATAATTTTTATAGTTTTTGTATTAGTAGAAGCTAAGAAGGCTCTTTGACAAAAAATACATTTTTGCATACAGAATTTTAAAACGTCTTCAATTTATGTTGTGGAACTGCATATAAGAACTAGGTTTCATTAAGATAATAATAGTAAAAGGAAGGAAAAAACATGTAAAGCATCTAGTACTACAGAGTACTAGAATAATGCTGGCACAAATCCATTATTGACAGTATTTCTTTCCAGTACTAACAGAAATACCAAAAATGTCTTGGATTATTTTCATTTTTTAATGTAAAATACAGTTGAAACATGGAAGAGATCATTGTTCAGATTTTAAAATAATGTCAAATCTATTTTAAATGTGTGTGCTCTGTATAAAGAAACGACTGTAGAAGAGATCCATATTGGACTGTGTAAAAGAGGTATCAGACATGTGGCCATGGCTCACTACCTAATATGTCTGAAGCGGGTAAGAAGTTTTGGAGGCAAAGATGCTTGGATTTGGGATGAGGAGCTGAAGTGAATGATAGCAGGCACACAAGGGCATTTTTACAGGAACCAGTACCTGTTCAAATACCCCTTCTTTTTGTGGAGGAAGCATTTTTAGCAGTTCTCTACTGTCAGCAGGGTGACCCTTACTCTTACAGTGTATTGTGGGTTTTTTTTAGTTACCTGTTGCCAACATGGTATTTATTAATGGCAGTTTTATAAAATGCAATACATGGACCTAAGTACTGACCTGACTTTCCTTGCATTGCAGAAAGTTCTCTATTACTCTCTACATTTGCAGAGAGTGTACTTTATTTGTGCTGTTTTTCACTTATCCCTAGAGATTACTTTTGAGCATTAGTTGAAATTCATGGTGTCTTGCCAGTGTCTTTACTACACTACCATCTGCCATATGTATTAAAGTAATTGGAAGAGAGATGTCCTTGAATTCAAGCTACTCAACTTCAAGTCACAGAAATTATAGAATTGAGTGTTTATTCATTGCACATTCACTAATCTTCAATAAATTCAGCCTTCAGGCCCCTAAAAGGAGTTGTTTTTCAGCATGAGGCACCAAGAAAGTGAGTGCATGTAGTGGTGCACCACGTGGCCAGTTAGAGGCTTCACAGTAATGACGATTTTCTAACGTGCTGAGATCCACCCAGTCCTGTCAATTAAGCTGATTCCTAATCCAGCTGGGAAGTCAGGAATTGGTCATGGGTGAAGATCTAGAGGTTAGCTATGAGAAAAAGGAAGAGTTTCTCATTCTGTTCTATGCTTAGTTGCTTCCTTCATGATGTAATCTTAGTTAAACAGAAAATGAGTGCATCCCTGAAAAGTAGATCATGAGAGTATCTTTATGCTTCAAACTAAAGCTGTAATAAAACTCTAGAAACTAAAAACAGGTACAAAGATGCTTATTGGTTAAAGCATCTACAGCATCACTTGACCCTTAACCAGCCTCAACTCAGCTTGAGATTAGAACAGCTGCCTGACCAACCGAAAAGTTGACACATGTCTTTCAGAACAAAAATCACAAAGATTAAGTGAGATCTGTCACCACTTGACAATTCTATTAATTCAAGCAGATGTTGGGAGCCAGGAATTGCAGAGATAGGAAGCATAAGCCTAGAGCACTGAGTGCCTCCAACTGTTTCATTTATTGCATGTTATTATTTTATTTCTTTTATGTGAAGTATAATTGATGCCAAGTTACAAAATTTTTATAGTAGTTACATCAAGTGCTCTATTTTCAGTATATACAGAGAGAGAGTTTGGATCTTCTCAATTTTGAGAAATACCAAATAGTTAAACTTCTGTTTTGTATAATACAAATACTATTCAGTCAAATACTGAATATGACAAACAGAAGAGAAGATATGTTTTTATATGTTTAAATTCTAAGAGCGTCTTCATTGCATCTTTATTCCTTCATTACATACTTATTTCTGGGTGGAAATGCTTAATTAAGATGTAGTGTCCTCTTCAAATAGTTGCCTATTCACTAATTTAACTTTCTGCATGAGCATCTGTTCTGGAAGGGTGAAATTCGGCTGGAATGATAACAGTGGTACCCTGTAGTACCAGATGCACCAATTTTGACTGCTCTTTGGCTAGAAACACTCATGTAGATGGATGACTGCATGAGATTAAAGTACCAGCTTCTCAAGACACAGCTACCAGTTTCTACAAAAATAAAGTAATTAGCTTTTAATCTGCTCTGCTGTGTCAGTGATACGAAGTGCTGAAAGTGTTCAGATTTATTTCTCCAGCAACTTTTCCTTAATCAAGCATTTATTTTCTGGAATGGAGTCCTTCCTTTGGTTTATCTTGTCTTACAGAGTTGCTGCTTGTCAGAGTGAAAAATAAACTGCTTAGCATGTTATGTCTCAAATGTGATGTTTATGAAGACAATGAAAAATGATACATGCATGTGTCATTTGTCGATGTACCCATTCCCAGTTGCATTCTCTCCTTAAATGTGCTTTTTACCATACTGTTTTTACAGCCAAGCAAAATTCTGAGTCATTCCCTATGCTGGCTTTGGAGAAGCAGTTACTCAGCTGAGAGCTGTTTCCTGCTTGCAGGGTCCTTCAGCTTTCAAAAAATGAACTTGAGTATACTGCAAAAAAAACCAAACAAACCAAGATAAAGCAAAAAAAGCCAGCAACAGAAGGAAACCCAAAAAGAAAAACCCAAAACAGAAAAAAAAGAAAACCAAAGAAACCCACCAAAAATACCAGACTAGCTTTCACATGCATACCTCTCTGTGATTCAAGGCTATGGTTTTGGCAAAGAATGAAACTGAAAAGGCCAGTTTCAATGGAATGGTTAATAAAACTGTTGCATAATATCTGGTGCTTTTAACACACTTCAAGCTTTGATTAAAGATGTAGTTTTGCTGTCCTGTCTCATATTGGGGGGTGGGAGGTTCCTCCTGCTACATCATTAATGCCTTTATAGCACTCTTGATGTTTAATTTTTAAGTTCCAGCCTTATTGTAATCCCATTTAAAACAAGTTTAACTCTGGTCTGGTGAGGCTTGTCTCCCTTGACCTTCTTCCTAGACTGTGGTAGGAGCAATTCACAGCTGATAGCTGAGTACAGTGGCACACTGCAGTGGTGCTACATTTGTGTGGTAAGGCTAAGTAATAATTACTTCCCTTACTTGCAGTCACATATTTCCACAGTCTGATCAGTACAGCTGCTGTTTGTCTGAATCAGCAGAATGACCAGGTTTAAGAATCTAAGTGACGTTTTTTATTTCCATAAAGTACTAGTGGACTTTCTATTGAATCAGACCTGGGAGAAGTGTTTTACTGATAATAGCTGACACTTTTAATGAGATTCTGATTTTAAAGGTAAGAGATGTAGAACAATGTTGGTGACAGAGGGTGCCAACATGAGCTGCATACTGGAATCCAGTTAAGCTTTCATTTGTGTATTTGAAAACTCGCTACTGCTTTTAAAGCCATAACCAGACTTCCTGGTCCTGGCTCAGGAAAACTGTCCTGTGGCCTCAGTCAGACCAGTGAATGTTTGAGTGCAAAACAAAACTTTTTAAAAATCAGTAGTGTAAGGTTTTGCTTATCTGGAGACTGCCTTTAACAACAGGTAGTTTTATGTGTTTAATTACAAGTGAGTAAATCGAGCTTCTCTTCTATTGGCTCCTGAAAGTTACATTCTTACATTTGTCATTTCCACTTGTTTTCTACTTAGACTGCTTGTCTGTGACATAACCACCAGGCCAGTCAAATATTCAGTGTAGGGCTCACTCGATCACATGAATTGGATACCACAGCAGGTCAGGTTTTGTAACAAGAGACTGTTCCCTGATCTTGCTGAGGAGGTTAACTACAGTCTTCCAGCTTCTGCAGACATGATCTTGTGTCGGGATTAGAGCCTGAAGTCCCTTAGTTGGCCAGGTGTTTTCCAGCACTGTGCTGAATAAGGTCTCCCTTAACCTCTTCTAGGAGGAATAAAGGTGCACCAGAACAGTGTCATTACAATCTCAGGTCAGAGAGCAGTTTCACCTTTTCATCATGTAGAATGAATGCATAGTAGGTAAAATAAGTTCACAGGATTTATTCACATAAAGTTACGTGACTTTATATGAGTTATACGAGTTTCTTTCTTTCTTTGCAGCTATTGGCTGACAAACAAGGTCCACATCAAACGACCCAGCACTGGTCTCCTCATGTATACACTTGCTACCAGATTTTGTGACGAAATTCACCTGTATGGATTTTGGCCATTCCCAAAGGATTTACATGGAAGACCAGTCAAGTATCACTATTATGATGATCTGAAGTATCGGTACTTTTCTAATGCCAGTCCTCATAGGATGCCATTAGAGTTTAAAACATTGTATGTGTTACACAATAGAGGAGCACTTAAATTAACAACAGGGAAATGCATACAGCAATAAAGCGCATGTTAAGTACAACAAATACAGAATACACACCTCATCATAAAGATGTTGTGGAATGGCAGTGGGACCACAGTGGGGATTTTTTTCAGTACCCACTAAGCCATTGGAAAAATGTCTCATATCAGAAGTACATAACCAGCTATTATACCTGTAAAGTGCTATACAACTAAGCTATCTTGACTGCAAGGGTTCAAGTAAGTGCCACTTTTCACTAAGAACAAAGCTTGAATGTATGCTCGGTAGTGTTTACAGGATGGAATGACACATTCATCACTAATTGAAGAAGAAAAAGAGCCTGCCAATTTGCAACTGTCATCAGACAGCCCACACAAGAATACCCAGTGGATGGAATATTTACTTGAGTAAATAAATCAGACTTTGGCAGAAAATATCATGATGGATTTGAGTAGAGAAAGTGAAGTCTGTAAGATCAAACCGATCAGTAACCTCAGCTTTTGTTGCTGTTTTTCTTATTGCCATTGATTGTGTTTTGTTGCTTTTAAGTTTTGGAGCCCTTTCAAGATTTCAAGGGTGTTATGAGTAATTTTTCATCTTACACAATTGTCTTAAGGAAGAAGATTTGTAAGCATGGGAGGGTGGAGGGCAATATCAAATATTTTATCAAGTGTTATTGTGTTGTATCCTGTTGTTGCACAATCCTCAACATCCCAATTGTTTTTCTAGATACTGTTGTCAGTACCCATTACATGAAACAACATTTTGGTCTGACTTAAAGAGAAGTTTTTCACTCCTGTACAGATTCGAAGATACTACATAGGGTGCCCTTGTTTTCACTGCCAAAGATTAATTTTCTACACATTTTTTCCTTTTCTTGGAGAAATAGTGTGGATTTATGTTTCTTTGCTGCTTAAGGGAAAATATTCTTTTTTATTTATATTTTTAAGCATCTAAAATCAAAGCCTCTTTACTACCTTTGCATATAGAATTCTTCAGAAAAATCTGCAGGAGTCAAGAAATTACTTTGTGCATTCAAATATATATGTGCATGTGTATATATATATATGTACGGTTTTATTTGTGGTGGAAAGGAAAAGTCTAAAAAAACTCAGGTGACAGTGGAACTAAAGGAAAAAAAATACCTTGCCAATTAATGGGAAAAAAATGCAGATTATACAGTTCTTTTGAACTTCTAATGCTATTAAATGATCTGTTTATTTAATATACCTCTTTTGTATCATCTAGATGTTCTGATGGGTAACTGACTGCAAAAATACAGAGCTGCATTATCTCACAGTTTTTTTTTGATCATCAGTCTTCTTTATCCAAAACACCAAGAGTTATTTCATTTCCTTCTTTCCAAAAAAAGGAGAACAAGCAATTACAGGAGCATAGGAGAGGGTGGAGTGTAAGTACAGCTTACATTAAGAAACAGTACTTGTCATCCTGTGATATGCTTTAGTGCTAAAGGAGCACATAAATGGATAAACATCATGGTTTCACATCTTTCCTGTTATGCTTGGCTAAGGAAGAGGCATGCAGGTATAATATATGGGTATTTTCTTGTTATGTTTTCAGAACTACATTAGGTCCTGGTCTCCAAGTATGATATTCAGTGTATCCTCTGAATTTTGAATAGTTTGAGCAATTTCGTATGTGTCACCACTCTCAAAAACCTTTACTAGCTGAAAATGCTCTTTATTACCCATTTTTTCCTCTTAAGTTCATGTATTTCATCATGCATGATTTGAGATCTGCGACTATGCAAATTTGGTAGCTAAATCACTGCCTTGCAGCCAAATATTACAGGAAGTAGAAAGCCAGTTCTGTTATATGTAAGACACAATAACATCTTTCCTTACTCACCAGATTCTCCTACCTAGAACAGTTTACTTTGGCCACGTGCTGATGTGCAATGAGTGGTCCTAACATAAAACTGACTGAAACCAAGGCATCACGAGGAACTGAACAGCCATGCAAAATTTGTTGTTGATTAACCAGTGGGTACTATTTGTTCACTATGTACACCTTCATCTTAAAACAAGGTTATTTCTGTGATGAAGGGTGAACATATTCCTGTTCTTGCTGTTAGGGTTTTTCTACTGTTGATCTTCTAAAGCATATTTCATATACATTGACAAAATTGCTATTGAAATAAAGAATTCACAGATTGCCAGTCTCTCAGAAGCTCAGAGAAACATCTGCTCATCTTTATCTTCTGGGAATGTCTTTTCTTCTTTCTAGTGTCAGGCCATCAACAAACAGCATGCTCAAGTAGTCTAAAATATTAACTGACGTGAATTTGTTCACCTGTGGAAGTTTTGAATATGCCAATTGATTTTGTATCTGACAGCAAAGTCAACAGGGACTCTCTTATTCCTTAGAATTAAAAATAAAAAATTTGTGGAAATGAATAAATGAAAAGAATAGCATGTAAACAGAAAGATAGGTGAGAGGATTTCCCTTAAATAGTCAGTAGACAAATTAAACCCCGGCCTAAGCCTTGGTTTTTCATGCTTCACATTTGATTTTCTGCAAGTGAAGTTAATGTTGGTATATGAGCAATGGAGTCCAGATTTTTATCCTATCACTAAATTTCTCTGACTTGGTTTGGCACGAGACATGACAATAGCACCTGATTCAAAGACAACAGAATTTTCCCATATTTCCTCAAAACTGGGCCTTAACCTCATCTTCTGCAGGCTTTCTACCTTCCGTACTGCACTTTTGGACACTGTGAGCCACAGGCTCAGGGCACTCTGCTGTCATCCATACCCAACCTTCTCACAGCACTCTCCCCTCACACCAGCACCTAGGTGTGCCTCCCTCCCAAAACCATGGGACTCCACATCAGCACATCTCTTCTCTCACCTGCCTCACGTTATCCTGAGCTGAGGTGTGATGTACTGAGGGGTGGGTCTCAGACTATTCTCTGAGGCAAGTTGCAGTAGTTGTTGCAGTTGTAGCAGCTGACTTTGTGTAGGTTTTCACAGGCACTGGGGTCATTTTACACTACTGTTCTTGCATAAGACCTGTGTCCATGTAAAGCCCAAAGGTTCTGGGAGGCTCCCTGGTGTGTGGTTTGTTGTGCTACATGTTGTTTTGAGATGGTTTGTGATCACCAGTTACTGCTTGGTTTGTGGGGACCTGAGGTGAGACATGCCCAGGACTTACCCTCTTGTTTGCACTCTACAGCTGAGAAGCTGCAGCAATAGAGTCATTGCAGACACCCTTCTTACCTTTCCCTTACACCTCCTGGGGCTCTTGGAGCATTTCTGTTAAGGCACCCCAGGACCTAAATGGAAAAACAGATTATGTCCTCTCTGTGACTTTTTACCTAAAGGTGACCCAGGGCATTGCAGCAAAGTCTTAACTGCTGTATAGAGACTTTGAGGTGGAATAGATTTCACTTTGTGGTCCTTCTCTGGTTAGCAGTCAACAGCTTAAACCTTCATAGCTGCCTCGGGTGATTCCTGTTGTTTATCTACATTTGCACCTCTGCTGCCCACAAGACAGAGCAGATAATCAATTTATATTATAATTACCACCTTTATAATCCAACACTATTGACAACTAATACAAAGTAATAGGATAAAAAGGAAGATCCTTAATGTTGTAATGTTATCTGCCCTGGTGAGGAACAGCTGAAATGCCAGTCAGTTGTGTTCAGATTTGTTCAAATTTATTCTCTCATCAGCTATACCAATTGCCTGCTGTAGTTCCTAAATGTACATTAAAAATAAGAACTGGAAACTAAATCCAGACAGCAGAACATGTATATTTTTCTAAAGCTTATGGCAGCTTTGTATTAAACAACCTGATTTCATCCAGATAAATTGATTGTAAATTGCTTATTAAGATACACGTTAATGTTTCTGTGACGGTCTTTCACATTTCATACAAATAATAGATAAATGTTTGATTGTTAACTTTTCAGCCTTGGGACAGTTCTCTTCCACAGCTCTGAGCCACTCTCCAGATATAAGATCTACTGAACCTTTCAGATCTGAGTCTGATGTGTAATAATGACTGTATCATTCTTTTGTTAAACAATATAAGCGACATGTGCTTGAGGTCAGTACTTTTTCTCTAATTGACTATGATTTGAAGAAAAACTGGTGCAGGTTCGGTACCTTTTTTTAGTGGTTGATCTAGCAAAGTGCTAAGCACTCTTTGCAGTGACTTTCCTGGGAGAGACATGTCCAGGATTTAGATGGGGATCTAGATTAGCATATTTCAGGACAGAACTCTGAAATTGCACATTATTTATTTTTAAGAGCACTGTTACTTTGTGTAGGGAAAAGCACAATTGTTATAAATGTAGATAAAGGAAGAGCATTTACAGAGATTTGTACCTGCACAGTACTATTGCTACTGAGTGTATGTCATACAATTTATGTGGTTTAAAGTATTGGTACATACTCTCTCAGAATTTTCAAGTTTGACACTGTTAGTCTGATTTCAAGTACAGCTATGGGGATTGTTTTTTATTTGTATAACTGAAAAATAAAAAATTCCTCACATATTTTCACCTATATTCTGTTCCATATTCCTTTGTAACACAGTTACGGTAATTTTATCAATCCTGTGCTAATTGTAAGAATCTGTGGAAGAGGAGTGCCTGCTCCTTTAACGTGTCTGATCAGGGACTTTCTTAACACAAAAGGGGATATTAAGAAGAGGGGGAAGCCATAAACAGGAACAGAGAGACACAAACTTGTCTGACCACTAACAAGGGAGACAGAGATGAGAACCAAAACTGATGAGTCACACAAAATGGTTAGGTTTAGAGTGTAGGATTTTTGTATTCCAGTATGATTTTCTGATCGAGGACTTTGTCAAGGGGGATACTAAGGAGAAGGGGGGAAGCAGAGTATGTGTACCCAAACCTGACAGGCAAACCATAATGGAGACGAAGAGAAGAAGCCAACCTCATCAGTCACACTGCACAGCTGTCAAGAAACTGGGGGCAAATGGTATATTGCAACTGATAAGGATGCAGTCCTGGGGGTCCTGGATTGTTGGAGGGGAGTTGGTGAGTCTGTGCAAATGGGGCAGTGTGCAGGGGAGGAAGAGAAGAGGAATAGACAGAAAAGGGGCTGGTTGTGTGTAAACGATGGCAGGTCAGTGTGCTTGTCTGGCAGATTCCTAGGGCTGATTGCCCCAGCCCGTCTTCAGTCCATTAAATCTCCCCTTACCTCTTTTTCTGTGTAATCTCACTGTCTGTCCCATGCATGTGCATTCTGGAGGGACCCGGTGCCAGATGAGGGGGGACTGTTGTGAGAGGATTGGGTGACAGCTGCTGGAGAGCTGGTGAGGGATGAGGGTGCCCCTGGCTTGTGGCAGTGGCTGCTGGAGCGAGTGGTGGGGCTCTCAGTCACTCTCTACAAGTACTACAAAAAACTCTAAAGAAGAAGCCAGGGCAAATAATAATATCAATACCTCAGAGGTGTCTGTGCTTAGGGAGATCCCAAATCCTGAGAATTTTAGCTGTTTTTAAGGGTCTGTCCCAGTCCCAGCCAGCAGCTGGATCCCTCCAATCCCCTCATCCTATGGATCAGAGTGAAAGGAGGGGAGGAGCCCCCAGCGCTTCCAACTTTGATGATTTTATTGGAAATTTACAATTTTCCCATGCTCTTTCCACCACCCAAATGAAGGGCTTTATGCCAGGGGGCTTTGCATTGGATATTAGGGAAAATTTCTTCACTGAAAGGGTATTTAGGCATTCAAACAGCCTGCCCCGGGAAGTGGTGGAGTCAGATGTGGGGGACAGGTGTAGTGATGGATTTGGCAGTGCTGCATTAGCAGTTGTACTCAATGATTTCTGAGGTCTTTTCCAACCTTAATGATTCTGTGGTTCAGTGTCAGCACTGTAGCAAGTAGTGTTCCCTAACCTTCTGTCGGGGGAAGGGAATGCTGGGTGTTCCCAAAACCAGCGCTGGGCAGGCTCTGCATGAGTGAGGCAAATGAGAGGATCAGCCCTGGTTGCTGCAGTAGAACCACGGATCAGAGTCTATCTGTGTGGGCAAAGTGTCTGTGTTCTCCTCAAACCTGGTTAGGTGGGCTTAGCTTCCATCGGGACCAGCCAGCAAGTTGAGGGCACATGGGTCTGAAGAGGGGTCTGGGATGGGGGCAGGGGTGCCAGGCAGGCAGAGAGGGCTCCGTGGACATGTGTATGCTCATGAACCTAGAGAGTATTCCCAGACTGTTGCATCAGGAGCCTTCT